TGAATTCAAGCCATCATCTTCATGACCCACCAGCCTTCTGTACTGGACAAACAAGTAAGATAAATTGAGATATTACAGGCATCAGGATATTACAGGCCCTCGTTTGTCAAGTCTTTATGTCAGAGACAACTTCTGCAATTCTCCCTAGAGAGTGATATTGCTTTTGATTTTCTGCTGTTGCAACAAGGGGGGACGCTAATGATTTCCACTTGTCACTTACTATTTTCTCTTTACTTTATAGATCAGCAGGCTGGTCTGAGGATTCTGCTTGTTGCTGAAACTGTGTGCAACTCAGAAGTTCCCAAATTTTCTTGTTGTACAATGTCCTTGAAGTCACAGTAATTTTTCTACAGTGCCCTAAGACCAAAAGAAATATCTAACAGTTCATTGATTAATTAGCTAAGTTTAAACAAGTTAAGTATATTTGTCCTAACAAGTTAGTAGCTGTTTGAAAAAGTAATATGCTTTATTGAAAGGAAAACATCTTTGCGTTTTATTCTTGAATAAACAAAGCCATTTATTAATAAGATGTACACATCTATGGGCACTGTATGACTTCTCTTATCTTGGAATCAAATTAGAAAATTCCACTCTCACTTCCTATTTCACACTATTTTTTTACATAGACTAGCATTTGATCATAGCAACTGCCAAAAAGTCCAGATTTGAAACACTCTATCATTATCAAAAAATACACAAACCACTGGTGCTCTGACTGCCTTGAGCTAGGAGTTTGCATGATGTTTGAGAAATGTCAAGAGTCATTTTTCCCCCACCCAAATTTAAAATATCCCTCCATGGCCCTGTGGCTTAGGACACCTTGGCCCATAGTTTAGGAACTATGGCTAGTCTCTTGGGAGTAAATTCATATAAATCTTATTCTGTCTCATTGATTCCTTAAAATTTACTTCCCTTGAGACATTTTCTCTTGTTGAAAGTGTTTACTATGATCCAGACACTATCTTAAGCATGTTACAAATAGTAACTAATTCATTGCCATAACCCAAGATAGTAGATATTATTATCATTCCCAATTTACAGATGATAAACCTGAGGCACAGAGAAGATAGTCACTGACCAAGATCAACACAGTTAATAAATGGTCAATCTGAGATTCAATTCCAGGTAGACTTTTGGCTCTGAAGTCCAGCACCTTTAACCACCATATCACACTGCTTCTTTAATAGCAAGTTACCATTTCTATCCCCACCAAGCACAGACACCAATATTGTGCATTGATTATTACCACTAAACCCTCTGCTACCATCAACCCAGAAATTGCAGAGGCAACTACCATGCAAGCCAGGATGGATATTATGTGGCACCTACTTCTTTCATCACTAACATCCAATTGGCACACACTGACCTAAATGGCCAGATTCCTGCACTATAATGAAACAGAAGGCAGGGGGAAATATCTGCATCTCTATAATGGGAGGAAGAGGCTCACTTGAGTTGGTATTTACCAAATATAAGAAGGATACTCAAAACACTTAATGCCCTGAAAGAAGAAAAAAAGTATTCAAGCACATAATACTGTTTTATATATATGTTGTCATAGACATGAACATTAGCAGTAACAACTATTGCCAATATTGTATTCAATGATGAATATTTCCTTTTATATAATTTTTAGGTCCTACAGTAGTGAGTCTACATTGCCCATATTTATGTACATCCTTAACTTTAAAAAATGAATCTTCTGTCAATAGGTTTCACTAACACATAGGAATATGTGATGTATTGTTTCTTTCATTACCATTCACCAAGCCTACACTGTCATAGACTTTTAAAAAAAGACAAAAATACATCAACCCACATGCTTCTGAAAAAGATTCTCTCCTCCGCATGGTGATTTCCTCTCCTCCACACTTTTCAAAATGTTGATCTAAATATAGGTTTAAATGATTTCTCAGGGTGTAATTTATTACATTCCAAGGTATTATCACATGTTCATGGTCTCCTCAAATCCATATTAATGGAAACTGGTTCCAAATGAGTTATCAGACATAGGAGATAGAATTAACTAAGTTTTAACTTATCTTTTGAATAACTATCTTTTGTATTCAAATAGCAATGAAAAAAATCATATTCCATCAGAAATAACAACTAAAATGTTTGTATGTTTACGTGTAAATATATGTATAGTAACCAGAGAAAGAAAGACTGAATATATGAAAATGAGAAAACACATTTTATTGAAGGCTTCAGGAAACATACTTTACTCAATCTTACTCCGTCAGACCAGGGGATGTGGCTCAAGCGGTAGCGCGCTCGCCTGGCATGCGTGCAGCCCAGGTTCAATCCTCAGCACCACATACCAACAAAGATGTTGTGTCCGACGAGAACTAAAAAATAAATATTAAAAATTCTCTCTCTCTCTGTCTCTCTCTCTCTCTCACTCTCTCTTTAAAAAAAAAAAAAAAAAAAAAAAGTTCAACCAACTTGGAATCCTGTCACAACAGGAGCAAATGAGTTGTCCGTGACATGATCAATTTGCCAGAACCATTTGAATGTTATAGATTTTTCAACTTAAAAATCAGGTGGAATATTATGTATAGGAAAATGTTCACACATTTGTTCAACTCTCATTCATTCATTCAAAAATCAAAAGCAGGATATTTTAAACATGACTCCAGCAGTCATGGGGAGCACCATATGACTCTTAGTGAAAATGCATCAAGCATGGTTTAGGGTAGTCTGCTTCCTTTAGGAATGATAAGGGAAGGGCTAGGTTTGTTTCAAGAGGTTAGATAAAGGGCGAAGAGCAGCATGTGTTTGTTCTTCTCCCAGAGGAAGCAGCTCTGTGGGAGTTAGCACCTAATCACACAGCTTGTGAAGAAAGGTACCTCAACAGAATGGTATTCCCTGATTCCTTGCATAGACTGTTTCTCACCATCCTCTCCTACCTTTCTCCCTTCTCCAAAACTGAACACCACAGGATTCCCGTGGCCTCCCCAGACCCTTCCTACATACCACCACCCTAAATTCAGATCTGCTTCCTCTCTGGTATTCCCCCAGCAACATCCCCCACCTTCTCCACCCTCTCCATCACACACTTTTCTGTCCTTACAACCACTCCCTTAGGCACTGAATCTGTTCTTCTAGAAAGTTAATAACTAATAAATATTGAAGGATAGTTTGTAAACAGTAAATACTACTCTGACAAATTACTTCTCTAGGATGGTTGCATCCCATTGAGAAATGCCTGAAGCCCATGTGGTCTTCCCCATTTACGCTGGTGAACTCTCTTTCTCTATGACTGCTGTCAGAGCACTTAAATATAGCATTTTTGTGCCTTATAAAATGTCTGAGCATGTCAGTCTTCACTTTTAACAAAATTCAAGAGGATAGGCACACTGATCTCATATTCCTGAAACACCCAGCAGTAACTCCAGTGAGTTGAGTCAACCCTGTGTATGAAGCCTGATGGAGGAAGGCTTTTCAGAGCCCTGAAACCTTACTACAAAGGATGCTTCCTTTTCTAAATTTGCACAACTTCCACTCTAGAATGAGGCAATGGGTTGAACTGGCAATTGGATTCCCTTGTCCCCTTCTTTCCTCCACAAGCTGTGTCTCCATCCACAGACATGAAGCTTTAACTCTCTACCCAACATATGATACTTTTCAATGTTGGGGTGCCTTAGGAGAAGCCAGTGAAGGAAAGGAGATGTATAGTAATAAGATGTAAGGTTTTGAAAGGTCCTACAAGAAAAAAAATTCATGGAAAAGAAGAGAGTGAAGACAGAATGTATCCTACGACTTTACTACCAGTAGGAAACTATTGCAATGACATAAAATAGTGTGGAAAACAAATGTTATAATAATTACCAAATCATTCCTCACCTCTCTTAATGCTGTTTGGCAGGACCATGTCCAAGAGGCTCCTGCATCACGGTTTCCCTGAGTGTGAAAAATTTATGTGATAAGAAATTGCTTCCAAAAAGCTGGTCGGTCATTTAACTCAGGAAAAGAGAATGCATAAGATTCTAATAGTATGATATATGATATCCTTTAATATGCAGAGGGGACGGATGAAATATGGAATACTATTAAATTTGGGAAACACATTATTAAGAGTTGTTCCTGTCCTTTTACACAAATATTTTGGAGGAAAATATTCCCATTCAAAAAATAAAGCTATCTAACTGGATAAGAAAGAAAGGGGAGGTTGAGGAGAAGGAAGAAGAGAAGAAAAATGGAAGGGGCAGGGGAGAGGGAAGCAAGAAAGACCCTAGAATATGTTGAAGCATTTAAAATTTCCAAGGACAAGAATTCTTGGTTCAGACACATCTGACATATTAACAAATATCTTGAGCTGATTTAATTCTTCCTGGCAAATACTATACACTTTATATCCACACCTGCGGTGAAGACAAACCTCCTGCTTTGAAAATGCTGGAAAAGTGGTGGTTTTGTCAGCTTTTTTGTTGCTATAGCCATAAGACCTGACAAGAACAATTTTAGAGGAGGTAAGGTTTATTTGGGGTTCACAATTTTAGAGGTCTCAATCCATAGATGGCCTACTCCATGGCTGTGGGTCCAAGATGAGGAAGAACATCATGGTGGAAAGGTGTGGAAGAGGAAAGCAGCTCAGAACATGGCACCTGGAAGCAAAGAGAGAGTGCTCCACTCACCAGGGACACATATAAACCCCAAAGTCATGCCCCGGTGACCCACGTCCTCTAGCTATACCTACCTATAGTTACCACCTGGTTAACCCATTCAAGAAGATTAGTGTGCTGATCCGGTTAAGGCTCTTGTAACTCTATCGTTTCATCTTTGAATTTTCTTGCATTTCTCACACATGCAATTTGGGGGGGGTCACCTCATATCTAAACCATTGACAAGTAATCAGCCTTTCTAGTTGAATTTCTAATTGGAAGTAAGAGACATAAACAAAGGAAAGAAGTCAGGAAAGATATGTGGTGGAAAGACAATGAATACAAGCTGATATTCTGAATAAACCATTTGTCAGATGAAGGTAGGAGTGAAGCCAGTTCATGGGAAGTTTACTCATCTTTGCTTTTATTTATTCATCCATTAGTCCATGTACCCATCGCTCACTCGTTCAACAGCTACTTGTTGAAAACCCTCTGCAGAGCTGAATAAAGCAAACTCAGTTACAGAGAAAATATTTTTCATCAAGTAGTAGGGCTTTACTTTTGTTCCCAGAGAGATCACCAAAAAAATCATATATTTTTGTCTTTAGTTAGATGACAGAGCAGCAGACACTTGATGAACCCCTCAGGGATATTAATTGGACTTGGTGTCACTAGGACTGTAACAAACTGATGCTGTAGCACAGTATACTGCCATTAATTATAACTAGGATCCCTCATAAATATTTCAGAAACCATTCTTTAGCTAAAAGGCAAAAAGGAAAATTAAAAAAGGAAACCAAATTTTGGAAAACAATGTTTTTTAAACTGAAAGATACCTACAGAGAATTCATTTCCTATTCAGTTTTAAGCAGATCATTCACATGACTCTTGATAATAACAAGAATTATCCATCCTTGTTCTCTGTCTCTAGGGATTTTACATTTTAAATGTTGAGTTCCAGAATAAGTGGAAACCTGAGAAACTTGTTTAAAAGTCATAAATAAGTAAAAACAAGAATGTGTTTCACAAAGCATGAGGTTGTCATGGAGCTCTGCATACTCTGATTTCAGCCTCTCAGACTGTCTCATCTCCTCCTTTTAATTTTAGTGAGAATAGATGTTATAAATTTCAATGGACTTATTGCTTAGACTGTGTCTACTAAGTGAAGCTGAAAATCTCAGGCTAGAAAGCGCCCTTTGGTGCTGGAATCTCATCACTGAAAACAAGTGGGCTATCTGCAGAGACCCCCACTTCCTTGTTTTAGTCAATTTCCAGTTATCTGTCTAACCACACTTCCCAGAAACCTAACAATGTGCCTTATCCTCCTTGTGCAGAATACTCCGCTCCTGCTTTCCTTCTTTTCCTGTACTCTCTACATCATCTGGAGCGACTTATCCCCCTCTCACCACACATATATTCCATTTCACGACGTGTACTTTCTTTGCAGTCTCAATGCCCCTGGTCCCAAGGTTTGGGGCCTCACCAGGTTAATAGTAATTCTTCAACCACCCACAAATGCTTATTGTTAGGTCACTTTGGGGTGGCTAAGGAAACAACCAATCAGGTACCTTATACCCAACCACCTGTCAATCAGTGGGGTCTCCTGACCAATCCTGGAAGGATATGGAACCCAACAAGATCCCTCAACCAACCCCAGGAGGACAAGGGACTCCAAAAACCTTCCTGTCCCAAGCCCTCCTTTTCTGCCCTCAGTCCCCCCAAATTCCAATCTGGCTGAGCCTGACTGCAGTTCTCCCCAACCAGCTCTGTTGGTCTGGAAGGTCTTGCCAGGGAGCGAATGTCAATAAAGCCTTGTTCAGCAGCTTTTAGACTGCCTCCTTTTGGTCATCGGTGCCTGACCTTACACCTATAGCATTTGTGGCTGTACTTTGATTCTTGTGCCCATCCCTTGGTGGTTGGCCACATATTGGCAGCTTCTTGTCTTGACAGAGGAGGGACTCTTCCAATCTACTAGTAACATGTCATAGCCCAGAAGCTGCAGACCCAAAACAGGCCTAAGTTTCAGAAAGTAAGTAAGGGCATTTTCATTCTTATTTAGAGTACATTCCTTGAAGTCTCTCTACCTCTCCACTATTTAAAATCTACTTCAGAAACCAAGGGGGAAGTTCTCTACCTAAGAGGTAAAGGGTCATCTGCTTCCAAGTAATTTGGAATTTCCAAATAAAACCTAATTCAATTATTGGGCTGTCCAAACTGCACCTGCTCCAGAAAATAATGAAATAAGTTTGTCCAAAATGCACTTCATATTTCCCTTTTCACCTCAATTCAAAATCACTTTTCCCCAAGTGTTCTCAAAGGGGCACAAATGCCTGCTATAGAGATCTGGGAAATTCCCGTGTTTTAGTTTGCATTTTCACTGTTGTGACTAAAAGAACTGACGGGAGTGGTTTTAGAGAAGGAAAAGTTTATTTGGGAGCTCATACCTTCAGAGGTCCCAGTCCACAGCCTGCTCCATTCCTTGGGGCATGAGGTGAGGCTGAACATCATGACAGAAGTGTGTGGTGGCAGAAAGCAGCTTGGAACAAGGCCCCCAGGAAGCAGAGAGTGAGAGAGATTAAACCTAGCTCTCAAGATAAATGCCAAAGGCGCACCCATGTCTTCTTCCAGCCACACCTTACCTGCCTTCTGTTACCATTCAGCTGATCTCCTCAGCGAGTAATTCACTGATTGGGTTAAACCTCTCATAAGCCAATCATTTCACCTCTAAACCTTCTTGCATTGTCTCACACATGAGCTTTTGGGGGACACCTCACATCCAAACCACAACATCCACTCAACTTGAGTCAATGATCGGGGACATTCTCTTCTTTTGGGGGACCCTAATTTAACTAATCGTTTCTTCTACAAAAGTAAATAAATGTCCATACCTCTATCAGAGTGACACTAAGCAGAGGTCTTTTTTTTTTTTTTTTTTTTTTTTTTTTTACTAAAATCACTCTATTTGCTACTGAAGTCAGTATCAAAGAGCAATAACAGGCAAGGTGATGTGAATACTCGCTTATGCCAATTCACTTTAACCTCTCGATATTGTAACGCAGAGCCCACGTTTAACTCCTATATCCCCAGCGCCGCACAGCCACAGTTTTCATAACAGCAGCCAGAGTGGCATTTTAAAACCCTAAGTCAGAGTAGTCACAGTTCTGTTCCAAGGGCCTCAGTGGTTCCCAGTCTCTATGCGAGTAAAAGCCAGCGTCCTTAGAATGGCCTGGGAGATGCTCCCGGCTCTGGCCCTCTGTTCCCTCTCTGACCTCACCTGCTACTACATTTCCCTTCTCCACTTGACCCCAACCACCCTGGCCTCCTTGCTGTCCTCCATGCACTGTTTACACGGCTCTTTGAGCCCCAGGACCTCTGTGGGGACTCCACTGACACCTTCCCAAAGAGGCCACCCTTTTGAAAACGGCGACGGTCATTCCGACACTCATTCCTGCCCCCACTCAGTTATTCTGTTGTCTTTTCCTCTAAATTGTCATTTTCCTGATAACTCTATTGTTTATTTGTTGATGCACTTGTTTATCTTGTTTGGGTTATGATTTTGTTTCCCTGTCTAGAACCTGAGCTCCACAAGCACTCAGGGTCTTGTCGGTTTTGTTCACTTAAGGTTCCAGTGTTAGAACGATGCCTGACACATAGTAGGCATTCAGCAAATGTTCACTGAAAGATCACATGGAATGATTGCGTGAAAGAAACAGCGCAGTCAGGAAATGTGCCCCAGGACGCACAGACAATAAGAGGTTGAAGAGGGATTTAAAAGATCTTTGCACAATTCATCCTTGAAATAGCAACAGGGCAACTGTCTGAGGTGGAGCTCTGTAGCTGAGCCTGCTGCCAGGATTCACATACAGGGGGTTGGTTAGGAAAAGCTCCCAGGAGACACCTGTAAGGAGTCCAGGGAAGCAAGCAAGGAAGGAGGAAGTCAAGCTGGGGTGAGCTTAGGCAAGTCCCCGGGGGGTGTGGCTTCTGCCCCACCCCACAGGGAATCTCTGAAATATAAGTTACACCTCAACTCAGAAGAGTCCTAGTTAGACTGAAAGCAAGGGAGCTGAGTTTTCATGACCTCTCATTTGGAGGTCAAAAGCCAAGGGTCAAGGACTGGGGGATGAGCAAGTCACACAATCTCAGGCACTTGCTTCTGTCTCTCTGTGCTTAATGGCAGAGTTGCTCCAATAACCTGACAGCAGTTCGGACTTAGAAGCTGGGTGTTGAAAGGCAAAGCACATCACAGAGCAGGAGGGTACAGAAGGTGAGAGGGGAGAGACACTAACCTATCTGCTACAGTGGTTCTTTAATGTGTCCTATCATACCAACAATCATGCCCCAACTCCATGTTGTGGCCTGACTCCACATAACCTACCTCTGACCATTGCAGCCAGAATTTCACTTTAAACTAGTGGCTCATGGGCCATTGGGCCTTTGCATCTATTGTCTTCTTTGTCTAAAATGCCCATAATCTAACTCTTTACATGTCAGTCTGCTTTTGATTTTTCACATACCAACCAAAATACACTCAAAGGAAACCTCCTTAAGCACTGAACCAACCAAACACCTTTAATTTCCTAAAAGTACTTATCACAATCCATAATCATTTCTCTTTCATTTGTGGGTATCTCTTTTTGTTGTTGTTGTTTTTGTTTTTATTCTGTCTCCTCACTAAAATATAATCCAATCAATATCCCTAGCGCCCAGCACACTATAGGGGCTCAAAATGGTCTTGAGTGGAAGGAAACACTGGAAGAGAAATTGCCAACCATTCAAGGTCGTGGCTGCATTTACCTACCCAACCCTGTTTGCACTGGTCTTCAAAAACTTAAATTTATCCAAATTATGAATGAGGCTGGAAAGATAAAAGGACATCCTACTTTGGTTAGAATTATCTCTTTCTACCCGACTATTTTGGCCTCAGATAAATCCAGGTTCTCTCCCTCAAAAAGATGTCAGTTTAAATACATTTAAAACTACATGCTAAGACTGAGAGATGACATTAGAAAAGCCAATGTAATTTTGCTAGATTAGTGAAAATTACCCAGGAACTTCAAGAAGAACCAGCTTAGAAGTCAGTAGAAAGAAATTTGTACTTTCCAGCATTCATTAACTTTCCCATTTCTCTCTTTTGTGAACAGAAGATAGTGCACCAAATGAGATATAGAACTAGCACTTTTATCTTTACTTGAACAAAAGCAATCTTCATGGGCCATAGGGCCTCAAAAACAAAATAATAATAATAATTTTCTTCTTTAAAAAATAGACTGCTTTGACAAACATAAATTTTGATTGCAGATGTAAACAGAAACACACAAGACCAACAGAAACATACAATAGGAATTTTATCTAAAGAATTATTTAAAGTCAGTTTTTTCAATTTGTTGCTTCACTATAAACGTTTAAAGGATTTATTAATGTGTCATGCTATTTGCCACCAGTGAAAAAGCTCCTGATATATGCAGTCTATAAATATTTCCAATTTTTAAATTTTAAATATTTCTTAAAGAATTAAGGACTATCAGTAATTTCTTTGGAAAAGGAGAATGTATTATATAATAATATACATAAGAATTCTTACTTGCACTTAAATTTGATTGATTGATCCAAATGTAGAAGAGTGATTATTAGAAGTTGGGAATTGTAGGGGGTAGGGGTTTAGTGGAAAGGTAGACAGTGGGCACCAAACACAGTTAGATGGAAGTAATAAGGTCTAGTGTCCTAGAGCATAGTGAGAGACTATAGTTTACAATAACTTAGTATATGTTTTAAGCACGACTGAAGAGAGGTACTCAAAGCATCCAAATGCAAAGTAATGATAAAGAGATGGAGACATTAATTACCCTGATTGGACCAGTGCATATTGTGTACACACACAAACACACTGAAATCCCATATTATAGCACATAAATATGTACAATCATTATGTGTTAATCAAAAATTTTTTAAACGTGTAAGGAATGGAAGTGTTAACTACCCTTATTTGATCATTATAGACTGTATATATTTTATAATCAAATTTGTAAAATTTAAATGATAATTTTAAAATAAGACATATATTAATAATTTTAATTTTTCTCTCATTATCCCAGTCGTGAGAGAGAAAAGCTTAGGTCAACTGGGCTTCCAGTTTTATATTACATATATATAATAAAACCTAAACGGTTTTAAGTCCTGCCTTTTCTTCAAGGCCAAGCTCAATTCCTCTTCTGGGTAGATCTTTTCCCATCCCCTCAGGTCTAGGTGATTCATGATACTTTTCTTAAAATGCCCAAGGTACTTCTCTGTTGGCCTTCTGGTACTACCTCTTCTGCCGTCCACGCTAAGGATCCTTCAAGTGACTCAGCTTGGGTCCCCTACTGGAGGGCAGTGCTGGCAATGAGCAGAGCTCTGGCAGCCACCTTGCTAACCCAACCCTGCCTCCCCCATTAACTGCAGTCACCTGTATCACCATGAGAAGTGCAAGAAGTATAATATTCTTTAACTCAGTCACTATTTTACTCCCGTATTCTATCTGATG